ACGATTCAAAGAACTACCTCAAGGGTGGATCACTGGAGAACACCATCAATGGCCGCGGAGACGACGACTGCAACATCACCCCGTTACCTCCGCAGCACGTCATGCACCCGAGCAAGGACATCAACAAACTGTACGGCGTCACGCCCAGCGACATCGACAAGTACTCAAGAATCGTGTTTCCGGTGTGCTTCGTTTGCTTCAACCTCATGTACTGGATCATTTACCTGCACATCAGTGACGTGGTGGCCGATGACTTGGTGCTGCTCCAGGCAGACAAGTAGACTTCTTTACAGATTTTGCGCCGCAACTCTATGATGACWACGACAACGATGATCCGATAATATTATATTRTATTATGATATATTACAGTAAAATATAATATTTTTATCTAGATTTAGTGTAAGAGCTCAACTACGAAAAAAATACCGCATCGCGAGTATATTTAATTATTATTATTATAGTAATTTTACGATTATAATATATTATTAAGGGATTATTAGGGCAAAGAATTATATGATCTTAAAACCAATTAAATAATATTTATGATGGTATGCCCTAAAAATTAACAAATTATGCCCAAAAAATATGCTCTAAGAAAAAAGTAAATTCTAATGTAGTAATATAATATTTTAATACCAAAGTTTAATATTAAATTATACTTTTTAAATACCTAGGTTTTTACCTAAAATATCTACTAATACAAATGTGATCTTTAAAATAAAAATAAATGTTATAAATTTCTTATGTCTAATATTGAAAAAAATTMACTAATTATTAATATTTCTTTGGAAAGCAGCTTTAACTTTAACTTTTGTTGAATCTGAAAATCAAACATTGCGTGTTTGTTATTTTCTTAAAATATGTAAAAATATTGTAACATTGAAAATTTAGTAGGTATTTTATTTCAGGAAAATCTAAATTATACATCGCATAAAAACTTAAAAGTAGATGAAATCCCCAAAGGCGCCCTATATAATTTTCCATGATACGTAGGTACCTAGAATATCATTCATCCGAAAATACATTTTGGTATAAAACTATAACCCAGCTATTTTTTTTTTTTACCAACTCATAAATTCATGCAAATTTTATGTTCCCTAGTGGYTAGTTATTATAACATCAACCATAGGTCTAGACAGAATTTACTTATTTATTATATCTGCAGGGTCTTTCACCTGATCAGCTCTCTATGTCGATCAGACTAAAACGCATAAAYTCAAWCCAATCCAATAAAATCCACTCCGTTATATTTTATAAACGAAATAAATATCTAAAAACAAAAATACCGTCTCAAAAGATACTTTTATCCATTATCCGAATGCGTTTCGTCTTTRAAATAAAAACATTTATTGCAGTATAAAGTTACAGTAAATSGACTACATGTATCATCATTATTATTGTCATTAAAATTGATTTCAATCCGTTCCATTCTAATCTAACCATTCCACCATGATTTTCGTGATGATAATAATGGTTATAATTATATTAGAATATTTTATGACGACCAACCGACATTTCGTTTTTAAGAGGCATTTATCGCGTGATTCAGGCGAGGAGTCKTGGATACRAAAAGTTTCTCGAATTAAAATGTTTTTGATTAAAATTTAAAATAGTTAATTAGTATCATCATTATTATTACGACTACGACGGTAATAACAGTTGTCRCGTCAAGTTTTCCGTTCGTTTTGCGCATGTCAATACATTTATTGACGTTATATTATTATATTAATATTATATTTTCGTAGTGACGTAATTTAATATATAAATATATATATTATATATTATTATACACTGCAGTGCTCAATCGTCATATTTATTTCTGATTTCAATTTAAGACATTCACGTCTACTTACGATTACAATAATTATTAATTCTTCTCATAATATTATAGCTGTTAATATTTCTATTGCATTTTTGAAAACAGTAATAACTAGTTTATAATATTATGTTTACCTGCGCGTTTTTTCGGTTGC